TACACCTGATAACAGGGGGCAGAAGACTACACAAAAAATAATCTTATTGCATAGTAATAAATTATTAATAATAAAAATGTATTTCTGTTTTTTCTTTTTACATATTTTGTTAAAAGGCAAAATAAGAAATTTCAACCCAAAAAAAAGTAATTTTCTGTTTTGTTTTATTCTTGGATCAGGCTTTAAAGGGTTAACCAGATTCCTAGTTTGCCTAAGGAATAAAAAGAAATATGATACTGCTCTACCAGCACATTGTTTAATGGAAAGGTAACTACCTTTTTTCCCCGATATTTCTTAGCTTTTGAGTAAATTCCAAAATCCGATTTTCAATTTCTGTGCTGCTATATATAGACACTCGTGAGAATCACTGAACATAGGATACACTCTTGCGATGGCTCCCACATTCTGATCAGAATCTGTAGAGAGTGTTTTTGGTTCCATCCATTTTCTAAATTCTATATTCCTTATCTCATCTCAGTTAAGGTCGCATGGTTTCAGTGGGTGAGAGGCAGGGTACGGGACCATCACAGGACCACACAGAGGCAGACAAGACACACTACCGAGCGCAATCACTCTATGGGCAATTTAGAATTGCCACTTAACCTAACATGCATGTATTGGGGACGTGGGAGGGAGATGAAGAGTGCCATGCCAAAATGCCAAATCTCTCAAATTTTAGGTCCATCATGTCTACAGTCAAAGCTTAACTCCAAACATCTCTGCTCTGGCAACCCTGGAGTAATTAACTGTGTGTGTGTGTCTGTGTGTGTGTGTTTGCAAGTGACCTTTCCATTTACTTTAGCTCCTAAAAATCCAATAAAACCCAAAGCACTGAAATTCAAAATGCCCAAAAATATAAATCATGTCAGTGTGGTAGTCAGGTCCAGATTCATGGATTGATCTTGTACGTTTCTCCATTTGCACGTGCGAGTTCTCTCCCGGTAATCGGGCTTCCTCCCACAGTCCAAAAAGCCAGCATCTGCTGGCTGGACACTCCAAACTGCCTAAATGTGTATTGTTTTAATGTTGGACTGCCTACCTGTCCAGGGCGTGCCCCGCCTTGCGCCCAAAGACATCTGTGATAGGCTCCAGCAGCCCCTCGACGCATCTAGGAATCAGCAATATACAAAATGGATGAATCATTGAGCTTTATATTAGTAATATGTCCGGCCAGGATTGCCCAATCGGTTCAAGGACAAAGGCACTCGTGGTTAGAGCTCCAAATGTGGACAAAAGGCAGGGCCCATTTATTTCAATTACTACCTCCCGTGAACACTGGATAGATGTCGACGCCTTCGTCATAACTTTGTACTTTCATACATGACATGTCACACTAAGAAAAGCGCATGTGAAAGAGGATTTTAGAGCCCAGGGCTTATGGAGGGATGACCATGTGATTCTTAACTGGTGTGTTTTGTTGTGGACAGTTGCCATTCTTCAGTTTTAAGGACCTGGTTCAGCACAACTCCTCATAAGACTATTTCTACTAAAGGGAACAGATAAGTTGTTGATGATCAAATTGATCCATTTTCTGAATATGCGTGTTCCACAGAGTTTTTGGATAGCGTGCAACTTATCCCAGATATCACTTTGGCAAGCAGCAACTGTACCCTCCGGACAATTTGCCATGACATCACAGAAACAAAGAGCTATGCACACTCACTTATCTTTAACCCTGCATGCATTTTATGGGTGGCGATAGGAAGCCGGGAGTAACCAGACTGAACCCTACACGAAAAAAAGACACAAACAGGGTTCAAACCAGAAACCCTTGTGCTATGTGGCAACGTTGCTAACCCCAACGCCACCAAGCGTATTTGCCAATGGTCATTTAGTCATTCATCAGAATGTGTGGCAGGATAACATTCCACATTAGGTTTTTTATATTCCCACTTCTGGAATGCTTGGGGGGTTGAGACTCTAAATTATGTCCAAAATGATTATTCTGTGGTTACTTGGACTACCACACATATCTAAGTTGAAAATACTCAAAGAGATAAATCTACTAAAAAAAAAGCTTGTACAGAGAAAGAGATGATCGTGGTTTGAAACGAAGTGTTCAAATCAACCAATACACCTCAGGAAACCCTCCCATCTGGTAGGAAAAAGCTAAAAATTCCCTTAAAGGAGAAAAGAAGAGTTTAAAAATGAAAGCAATTCTTTGCTTTATATGAAAATATCCCATGTTACAGCTTTTTTCCCCAGTCCAGGAGATCAGTGGCATAGATCAAGAGCAGATGTCAACACGTTCATTAATAATTTAACCGCGGCAGAAAAAAAGTCATTTTCTGGTTTTCTTCCTTCTCTGTTCATTGGCTTACCTTAACAGAAAATCTGGTGCACACCGCGTTAAATAGCCTTCCTTCTGCGAGTAACTATATGGAGTTTTATTTTAAACTGCAGATCAAGTGATTTCAATTGAATTAAGTAGGCAATTTATCATTGATACGAATAAAGGAAGCTAATCAAATCCTCATAGTTGAAGCACTGATACAAATCCTTTGAGAGAGTACTGTCAAACATAATCATATTCCACTGCAAATGATGGGGGTTGTCTCAAGAGAGGAGAAGAAAAAAAAACAAGAATGAAAACACCTGAATCCCGAGAGCCAAATTAGGCTGGTGCTGAGGCCGTGGTGGCGGCAGAAACGCAGTGAGAGTGCGTGGGATGGCCTTCCAAAACAATCCATCTGCCATTGCGACAGACCGGGCAGCAGTGGGCTGGAAAGTAACCCAGGCCACAGAAGCCGCTCCTCCTCTGATACACTCGGAATGCTAATGCGTTTCCAGTTATTCGATTGTTCCGCTGAGCAGCCGAATCTGCTGTTGCACTGACCACAGAGATCAATAATGTCACACTGTCCTGCCAGTATTGGGAAACAGTCATGAAGCATGCTTTGGCAACACTTCACACTTGGCAGCCTCTAACCCCAGTGACAGGAATGTTTGCGATTAGATCATTGTTTAACGCTAAGTCTCTAGGGTGAACACCTAGTTCTCATTATGTGCACTCTTCTCGACAATTTCCTCTAAGATTTTGACAAATGAGCTTGTTAATCAAGGGCTGATTGAACACGCTCCCTCTGGTAGCAGTTTTTATTTTCTTGCTTTGTGTAAACGGTTTTGAAAGAAGTTCCCATTGCGTTCAAGAAAGTCACATTGACATTTCTGTGAACTGAAAATAAGACTCCTACTTTTTAAATGCAAATGTCGTGATATTTGCATGCGCTCTGTCTGCTGAGCTGTGCATTAACAATGCAATGCTGTCCTTTAAGAATGACGAAGACCCTCATTTGCAGCGTGAAAGGTCACCGTATCAGTAAAAGTCGAAACGCATTCACGTGTAATATACCAGTTTAAAGCTGTGTCGGGATATTTAGGCAAAAACCAATTGCACCTAATTGACCATATCGGTTATGATCAATTAATCCCCACCAGGATGCTAACACAAATGTCAGAACTCAAGGAGGACAGCACACACATGGTCCAGATAATGTTGTACAGAAGGCATGTTTACAAAGAGAAAGTTATTTAAAGAACTATCAACTGAACTGCTTTTGTGGGCATTTAGGAAAATATACCTTTGATTACCCCATGGTATCCCTGTAAAGAAAGACAAGTATAATTATTCAATTTTTGGGCTACCGGTATTTATCTGGAGGCTTTTTGTGACCCTTTTAAATAATTTCCTTACTTTCTGGTCTGCAAGTTTTGATTTTCAGGGCTTTGTTGGCTAGTTTGTTTAGGCATAGTAGTTATATTTCTTAAAAACAGCCTTAATGGTGCTCATTTGACATTATTTACTACCCGTCTGTACCTCACTGACCTATTTGATGCCTATCTTGACTTTTCTGCACCCTGTTGCAGACGTCTGTCCAATCAACAAACCCTACAGGCTCAGACCTTCTGATTAATCTATGTTTTCTTTCTTTGAGACTAAAGTTTTCATCCAAAAGAAAGAAACTAGCAAGAAAAGTTTCATCTAAACTAAGATAGACTTTTACAGCATAAAAGATCAACTTAAATGTTTTAATATCAATTCCATCCATTCATTCTATCCCTAACTAAATTAATAAGTTATATGTAACATATCGTAATCGCATACCTATAATTTAGTCTCTTTAGCTTTTCAGATTTATATTCCTCAGAAAAATCCAAAATGTTACAAATGAATCCAATTTCATTATCTAGTACTGTGTCTAGTGTCCTGCTTTTGTCAGCACTGTTTATTCTTGACATACACAGTTCAAGTTTTTCCCTACTCCAGCATGCTTTTGTTTTACCAACTTCGATCCATCTAAAGGTTTCGTCTAGGTTCTTCTGTTTAGGATAATTTTATATTTCACTGTATAGATTTGTTCAAACACATCCTGTGATTATGAAAAAAACAAGGGGAACAACAATCTGGGGAAGATCTGCATGATTTTCCCATTCAAAATGATTTCAAACTAATAAAACAATGTTGAAAATGTTCAACTGAGTTAAAGAAAAACATTTGTGCTTGTTTCTACCCTGTAGGACTAAATCTCTCCATCTAAATGACAACGTTTGACAATTATGATATTGTGGCACATTAGACCTTGCTTCTTAAAAAGGTCTATCGTGAAAATCCAATCCACACAGTAAACTGAGTATTTTCCTCCCCTGACACTAGTAAGCTGTTGCCATGGTAGTTCAGATGAAGCAGGAATGATAATTGTTTCACCATAGCCAAGTGTGAATTATTAAAACCTAGAGGGCATGAGTGAGCTGACTGACAAACGGAAGAAATTAAGCAGAATGACTACTTACGAGTGTTTTGTGTGCAAACATTTAGGTGTCGGGGAGCCCAGCTGTGTGCATGAAACAGGAGCTTTGGAGAGAGATGTAAAAATATTGATGAAGACAAAAGGCCCATTCATGAAGAGAAAACAAAAAAAATATTTTTTTCATATATATATATATATATATATATATATATATATATATATATATATAATGCAAGCATCTTTTTCAAAACATTGTTCATCATCCTCTCATTAAAACCAAAACAATACTCTTTCTAAAGATTTATTTTGGCAAAAATGTTGAACTCAACAACACATCTTTATCCTACTGTAGGACTAATAAGCCACGATCATCACTGATGTCCACACACAGGAATCCTCCAAAAAAATATACCAATAAGTATGACGGAACACGCATCACCAGCTGACACACGCAGAGGAGCACACCACACAGCACGGACACTTTTATCCTCTCCTAATATGAAACAAATAACAGAAATGTTTCACTGAAGCTCGATAAAGACTGCTTCCAGACTAACACAAGCAATAAATTAGGCAAAATATATCCACATCCTTCATAATAAGAAAGTGACATACAGTATGTAAATCTGAGAAAATAATAGCAAAAGAAAAAAAACTATGTACAGTGCTCTTTTTGTTGCTTGTATGCATGTACTGCGTAGATTGAAAGAATCAAAACTGCTATGCAAACAGAAAATCTCCTCTTTTTTGTTCCCTCGGTGGATAAAACCGGTTCCTTGAGTGTGTCCCGAATACGTGCAGATCTTATGGTGTTAAACAGAATGCTGGTGGCAATTTTGAAAGGAATTTTTACAAAAAGAGCACCCTGTCACCGACATGACAGGTGGATTGTCATATAGAACATGTAAATCTGGTTTTGAATTCCATTAAGGCATTATAATGCACGAGGTTGCCGCTCTCTAGCACTGAGATTCAACAACGTAGTCGTCATCCATTGGTGGCCTCCTTTTAGGGTTGTAGTACTCTGCCTCATCGTCTGAGTCCTGGAAGACACCAAAAAAACTAATTTCAGCTCCAAAATGAGTTAACATGAATCAATACATTATCACCCTGCTTACTAAATAAGTAACATTGAGGCCCGTACCATCAGATATAAGTAGCAGCATGAGGTTTTACTCTCTTTAGCTGCCTGTTGGTGGATGATGTACTCCTCCCTGATGGATGAAGGATGAAAAGCACAAATTGTTAATATCACAATCAATAAAGATACAAGGGGTAAAAAAAGCTTAAAAAGATGTCCTGACATTCAAAAGGAAGTGTGTGTGAAGTAACATTTAGTTAACATTTGATTTCAGCCTTCACCTTTCCAAGCAAAAGGCAATCTGTGTACTTTTGATTTGTCATCAAAAGGTAGCAAAGGTGGGTCCCTTTAATTGGTATGATGTCATCAAAGAAAATCAGTGAAGACACATATTCTGGCTATGTGGGACACTGGATGTAAACGCTAAAGATTGCATTGTAAAAAGGTTGTATTTTAGTCCTGATTGTGACATTTTTGCAATCATAACCATCCAGGTGTCAAACTGTAGTCCTCGAGGGCCTGAAGGTTTTAGAGGTTTCCCTCAACTAATTCACATCAACATGCCACTGGCAGGGCTGAGCGGGGCTCATAAATGTTTTAGAGATATCAATTTAATCCGAATAAGGCGTTTAAAAGCAGGGAAACCTGCAGGACAGTGACTTTCAAGGAAAGGAGTTTGAGACTCCTGATCTATGGTACAGCTTAAACCAGGGAGAGGAGAAAAAGAATAAAAAAACTAACTTGTGAGCGTTTCTTTTTATTTACTCATTACGAAAGCACTGAGATGCCAGATGTAACCTGTGGCTCCTACGCTTACAGACGCAAACGGACCAACGCTGATCGATGTCGCAGTTCGCTGGCAGCCGAAAACAAATCAACCAGACCGATTACCGAGAGCCGTGCTTATTGCAAACCGCTGTTCATCACGGGCACCAGAATGCGGTGCAAGGCCATTCCCTCATGTTGTCATAGTTACAGGCTGGGTGTTTTTCTGCTACTTTACGAGCGCTGTGGGCAAACATGCCTCTACCGGTAACGAGACAATATTCAGTCAGTGGCTTTTAACAGGCGCGCACACACAGTTCTCCACTCTGGCTACTGGAGCCAAGCTTCTCCGGCCAATTGCCCACTTCGTGAGGAGGAGGTGACTTAGAGTAATGAACTATTGGAGTGATTGGTGAGTACAGTGGCTGCTACCTAATGGACTTCCACAGGTTGATTTGGCAAATCGGCTCCTGACACGTCACTTCAGGCTTGCCGTAAATCTCGAGCGGCCGATGCCCGAACAGCAAACTCTGAGTCATAAAATCAGTGTGTCAATCAACCCCCTATTGCGAGGTGACGGAGCATGATTTTTTTTTTAAGCCAGGATTTGCGCTTACCTAAGCTAATTTTGACATGATTTATATTCAGACATCTCAAAGTAAAGAAAATTAAATGTAAAAAAGAACACCAAAAACAAAAGAATCAATTATTGGGTATAATTTGCCAGAATAAATATGAATGCTTTGAGGGTCGTACTGCTATTCTAAGCATCTGCTGTTACTAGTGATTTACACGATGACAAAAGAAAACTGCAGCCCCAGTGGGACTGAACAGAGGGAGTAAAGGCACAGATCCCCGTGAAGCCAAATCTTTGATTGAGCGTTCAATTCTTGTTCGACCCTCATCAAGTTAGCTAACCAGATGCCGTATCTATGACCATCAAAGCCTGGCTCGACTGTCATTAACCCCAGGAGTGCCGCGGCTGTATCTGGAAGAATAAGTCTACTCACCCCTCTACGACCTCTATGGGTGATCTGTAGGCCTTCGATTGGCTACGCTCCTTCTTTGGACAGAACATCCGTCCAATCAGGATGAGGGTGATGACACCTGATGGGAGGATGACGAAGGCGAGGAGGACGGTGACATCGGAGAAGCGAAGTGTGGGCGCTGAAGAGGAGGAGGAGGAGGAAGAAGAAGGGGGGACAGGGCGTTGGGTCACTGTTTGTCATTAGACATTAAGAGCTTATATACGCCAGCTACACAAGCACCACCATAAAGCTGAAGATTTTGAGGAAAGACGAGTGAAAACAAAAAACAACAGCATATAGAAAGAAAAGACAAAAAAATTGCACTCAACATAACTGGCTGTTGTACCTTCAAACAGCTACACACTCTTTATCTATATGTAGAACCATGCAGAAAAACCCATGAGAGGCTGTCTTGTTGTTGGACGACGAACATCTAAGTTGCCTGGCAACTGCTCTGAAAGCGTACAAGACTTTGATGAACTTGAGCAGCGCGAAAAGACTGACAAGGGAGTCATGTCAATCTTAAAGCCTGCGATGCAGCTCTGTAACTTTAAACTGTTACCGTCGTGTCACTCGGCTGTCAGTGTGCAGCTTGGAGACGAGACAACCTGATGAGCGAGAGACAAAATGCTTCTATCGCATCGGTTTGGATCAACCTGCTATCTGCCAAAGTATCTGCCTGCACGGTGGAATGCTTAAAGTGAAATCAAATCAAATCCTTACAAGACTTTTTAAAACTTCAGGGCAAAACGGGGATCTTGACATGGGAGCAGTCTCACCTTTGGGCGTGACGGTGAGCACGGTGTGTGAGGATGGAGACCCGTGGACGTCGGGGGGGTTTCTGACCGAGCACGTGTAGGTCCCGTTGTCGGTCAGGGTGGCGTTAATGAGCGAGATGGAGGCATCCCCGCGCGCTGGGCTTCCCTGCCAGCGGATCCGACCGGTGAAAGGGCCGTCCGTGGGGGGAAACACCCGGGAGGAGAAGTGGAAAAACTGACCAGAGGGGGGGAGACAGTTTGTTACATTTTGTGTAAATACAAAGCAGGCATGTTCAAATGGAGAGGGGCCTCTGCATTTAGAAGGGAAGCAGTAACACACACACAATCCATTATGGCCCTATAGAGTGTCAAAATTTAATTAAGATTTAGGAATAAAAGACGATGTTAAGAGGAAATTATAACATGTGGCGGCTTCATTTTCACTTTGAATAGAACTGGGACTAAATACAGAGTGCTCTTTTTCAGATTGAATAAGAAAATAACAGTCATTTCAGAATGAACCTTTTTGGAGGGCGTTTTCTTTTAGGGCTATTACTGGTGTTAGTGGAAAAAAATAGGTTGGTTTTCAGTGCTTTACATCGGAATAAAACAACTCAGATCTGCAGGTGAAGCACATTCGCACTAGTGCGAAGACCCCGCAAATGCCTGGAAAACGGAATCTGGCTTCTGTTTCCAGCAAACAAACTCCATCACTTCACTCTTCCTCCCACGTCACACTGACCCAGACCTCTTCAGAACACGACATCCAGGGTATGAGTGTGTTGTGTGCGTGTGGGTGGAGAATGGAGATGATCGTCACGAAAAAGGAGAGAGAAAAAAAAAAGCGTTTCGAAAATGCAGTGAGTGGAGAGTAGAATGTGTGTTTTAATAGGTTGACACCACTAACCACAGGTTTGGATGGAAGCAGAAGCAAACAAATATAAACAGTTATCAAAATAGGTTAGTGATGAGTCAACTCCGGGCTCTCTGAGTGAAATTATTCAAAGCTGCTCTTATAAGACCATTGAATTCGCCAAAAATGAGGTGTAACATGATTAGGTTTATTTCTAAAAAGCATTATTTCTCTCTTTTTTCAGTCCAGTGATTAGACCTGACCGTTGTCACGTGAATGGTCTTGTTTGTTAAACACCTGAACAGTGAATTGTGTAGTAGCTGGGATCATCTTGATAGGAGAAAAAAGACAGTCAAAATCCAAAGAAGAGCTTTGGCATGTACTCCGGGAAGTCTGGAGAGGGACTGCTCTGGACTACTGGAGGACGGGTCAGACTGTGTTGGAGAATTAAGCTGTTCAAAATTAACACTGACTGTCACCCCTCTCCTGCATCAGTCCTAAAGAACTAAGTGGTTGGATAAAGACTTTTGCACAGCTCTGTACTTTAAATCAAAACAAACAATGGCTGCTGTGTGAGAAGTTTATATCTTTGCAGTAACACACTAGGTGCAGTCACAAAGCAGATAATGGTTTATGGCACTGTAAACGCTAAAGCAAACACAATCTGAACAACTGCAGATGCAGTTCATAGTTTTACTACAGCGTGTCTACCAGCTACATTGCTCAGAGTGGCTGTGAATCCCTGTGAACTGTTATTCCTGATTATTTAAGAACTTGGCAGAGCTCGGGCCGCATGAGAGAGTAGAGTCTGCTCGGAATGGAAACAAACACTAGACCCAGAGGTCCTTTAGAATTCAAGAGAAGTAACAGCAAACATGAATGGGATTCTGGCTTCAACTGGGACCACCTACGCCAAAAATATTACACTGAAAAAAAAAAAAACAATTCTAATTTTTGAACTTTTTTTATCGTCAGGCGAAGATATTTGACTGAACAGTCAGCCCCTTGTTGCCCATCTACAAAATGAATGATCACCAGGGGCTGAGGTAATTATGCGGGGTACTGCAGCAGCTCAGATTGACACGAAAGCTTTGGCAGTCAAATGATATTTTCTGATTGGAGCTTTCCACGTGCTTATTCCTCGTCTCTCTGAGCGTGATATACAGCCATGGACACGTGGGCCAATAAACAAGTCAAAGCCACTAATGAAATTGGACGGGACGCAAATAAAGGTTTGGAAGAAGGAATTAGAAACTTGCAGCCTGGGCTCCGTCTGAGATCTGCGTCAGAAAAGTGACATTCAGTGACCAGGAGAGGCCCGCTGAGTTCAAGCAGAAGCAATACCATGCTTTGTGAACCCCTACATACTTAGAGCTTCATTCTAAAAGATCTGACCGACAGCACTCATATCAGTAGAGCCACAGAACATTAGCTCCACTCAACTAAGTGCTCCTATAGGAAATGATGGCATATAGGGTTGCAGCTACCGCACTATGGATTCCTACACTCAGAATGCAATTACAAACAACCACATGCGATGGCTATCCTCAAGTACAATGGAGTTACTCAAAGTATGTGGTGCGTTCTTAGTGTTCTGAGTGCTAAGGGTTTAAGCTCTGAATGGAGTTATGGGGTGGAACGGATGCATCCAAAAGGCATTCTGGACCACAGTTGCATCCCACAAAAATGGGTATAAGGGTAGTCGAAGGGGCGGGGTTTGCGTTATTGAGTGCTATCACTGCACTGCATTGGCAGGTTCGGAAACCTGGTCACGTTGGTCAGGAATGCAAATAAAGAAATCAGATATTCAAACACTCAGCCGTAGAAGTGGCTGATAGTATCCATGCATGCAGGAAGAGTCTCAAATCAGCAATAACAGCAGTAGTAGACCAGACACTTATAATGAACTGGTTGAATGTCACACTTTTCAAATGTTCACTATAGTTTTTTTACCTTTGTGGACTGAAGTCAAAGCTGAATGCATCTATAAGATTAAAGGGACATTTCAGTTGGGTTGTATGAGGTGTTTCTAGTAACTGTATGTTTTTTGTAGAACTGGAGGGGCCAATGAGCTGGCACAACCAAAATTGGACTTAATCAAAAACCATAACCCTGAAAATGACATGTACTTGCCCAGTTAAGGAAAAGTGGACTCTAACTGGCCAAAGCGAAACTTTCCATGTTCAAACATCTTCCTTAATTTTGTAAATGCATCTAATAACAATTCCAGATGGCACGTCCAATAAGGGCTGCCTCACCAGCATGTTTTTGCCTGTATTGCTTTTTGTGCTGGACACCTAATCTGTGTAAAAAAAATTGTGAATAGAAGTCAGCCCATTACAGCTATATGCCAACTAATAGTAAAGCACTCCCAGTCGGTCACTCTGCTCTAATAAAATCTTGATTGTGTGATGATCTCTCAGAAAAAATTAGAGGCAGTGGAGAGTTTAGACTTTTTTTGTTAACTTGATTATCACCCACTCATAAAAACGGTAGCTCGATGCGTGTAGCCTTGCTCAGTGATTAACTTGCAGCATAAAGAATAGGGAGGCCAAAACACACTTTACAGCATTTAAAGCGACTTAAACTTAGGTTTGTTCTTCCAGCAGTTCACAGAGAGGAACCGTTGTTGGATATCATATTTGTCTGAGTGGACTAGTCACTAATAGAAAAATGTATCATGATCTAATTTTTAAGTTCTCAAGTTGTGTGATTATAAATTCCAAATGCAAAATGCAACTAGAACCAGCTGAAATAATCTGAATAACTGGATACTACATCCACCTGATATCACTTTCAAATGCCATAAACACCATTTCTTAAGCATACATATAAAAGACAAAAATGGGTCAATAGAAGTGGAAAGGAGAAACAAACTTGTCTGTTAATATCTTTAATCTTAGCTATTATGACAAATTGAATTATGGATTTAATTGTAGAAGTATATCTGATGCATATCTTCAAAAACTGAAGCAGTGTTTAGGGTGTTCTTCCAGTCACTCTGATGTACTCACTGACTCTGGTGGGCCTCCCGTCTGGGGTCTGTAAGACCAGTCTACCGTCATCTTACTGGTCGGCCTGCTGGTGGAGGAAAACGTGCAGGACAATTTGACGGTATCCCCTTTGGATGCATGGAGCTCTGCTGGAGTGTTCACGGTGATGGAGCAGACAGGGAAGGGGGCTGGAGAAGTATGAGAAGGGAGAAGTGGGAAGAAGAGGAAACGGAAAGAAAGCACAATCAAATCGTAAGATGTAACAAAAAAGATTCACGTAGAGATGAGTTAAGGAGGCAGTGGGTTGGAGAAAAGCAAAAGTAAAAAGAGAACATACTTTAAGTGACAACTTTTAAAAACAGTATCAAACAAAAGAAAAAGGACAAACAAAATAGCACGGCTCACACTGGGGTGACATGAACTCGTCAAACTTTTCCCGGCAGGCACAACACCGACTGACACTCCAATACAAGTTCACGTCCCCTGCGTCTTGTGTCGCATTTGACAGACTCTCACATCTGCCTATCACAGGACCCATCTGCGCCCCCTCAGAAGGGTATTTATTGTTGTTAACTAAATAGATATTAAGGGCCCCCACCTTAAATTTCCACCAGCACTGTCTACATTCTCAAGCTACTTGGGATCCAAATTAATACAAATGGAAATACTTAAAACACAAATATTACACCAAAAAAAACAAAGCTACTAAATATATGAGCAGTTAATTGTCAATCAGTGATTGAATTGATCAGGTTTAAAGAGGTTAAGCAAAAATCTCTTATTTTCTTTCAATCTTTTACACATTAAAACATATCCATTTAAACAGGGCAGGGTAAAATTAGGCCAGGGATCAGCAGACCAACCCATTTTAGACCAACCTCGATAGTTTCGTCGGGCTCTGAAACCCATGATAAGGACTTCTTATCTCATCCTAAAGAGCTAAAGAGAGCGGTGAGTATCAGCCCGATTCATCTAAAAAGACCTCGGGGAGAGCTAGCTGCCAGCACCAACAAAACAACCTCCCATTGAAAGTGGAAATCAAACCGGGGGAGCCTCGAAATCGGAAGTAATCTTCAACCTGACAACGTGATAGACGCTGACAATCGTCTGGTAATTTGTGGTGGAGTCGGAAACTTGGCAGCCCATCGGCGGTCTTATTGACACCCAATTTGTGGGCATTTGGCCGACTCTCTAGTGTCCTGGTGTGACCCTGCCAGGAAAAGCTGTCAGTCCTAACTGGGGAAAATATCCCACTTTTACACAAAAAAAAAAAAAACAATTAGACCCATCACTGAGAGTTACATTATGCCTGCTCTTAGGTGAACATAAAACAGCATGGCTGCTATTTAGTTTCTGTTTCAGTACTTAATCTGAATATAATTTGCACTTAACAGCTACTAATCATCATTTAAATAAAGAATCAATCTGTTTCTTATCTCTCTTGTTAAACATTGGGTCTTTAATGAGAAACGCCAACTTTATCAAAAAATAAAGCCCACTATCTTTTCCCTTTTACTACTTTATTTAAAATAATAATCATTTAAACTGTGAAAAGCTTGCATAGCCTGTTTACTGAATGAATTTATAAAATCCCTTAATAGCTTTTCAGGAATAGATCAATCAGCCATAAATTACCATTTTCAAGTGTAGGTAATGGTGTATTTGTGTAAATTGTCAATGGACTACAGCTAAGATAAAGTGCACATAACTAGTATCAACTGTGCACTACCTGAATGTGTTGGCTTCTATGTTGCTTTTCAACTCTGCAGACTGTATTAAGACTCATTTTTACCTTTATTGTTAAACCTAAATACCGCCTTTGTCCTCATAAAAATACCTCCCTGTTTTCATGGCGTGCCCAACTCTGACATAACACACAGAGACAGCGACTACCCGTAGTCTCTATATTCAAACACAAAGGTCAAGGTTTGGGAGAATTCGGAGCCATGTTTGTCACGTAACTTACGGCGTAAAACAAAACTTTAATTTTAATGTCAGCCCATACCAGCTGTCAGACCCATTTCAGAGAGGCCTGCCGTAGGGGCCAGTCACAGCACGAGCGTTTCCTGTATTCACAATAACGTGCCTTTTTGACAATTAACGCTGAAAAAGCGTTGCGTAGTGTATGTCAACGTAATATGTTCTAAGTTTTCACAGTCTGTCCATGTTAAGTTACCGTGTCACCCGTCTTTTTAACTTCACCCCGGCTCGTAACAAGCAACAGGGCGTTAGGTTTGGTTTGGTGGTGATATTGGTTGGCCGTGGGGGGGACCTTTCCTGTTTAAAACACCGCGACGTCCCAGTCGAGCTCCGGCGGAATTTTACTCACCAAAACAGCCGAACAAGCACAGCAGCGAAACGTAATTCGGAGCGGTTGGGACCAGCCGAGGCATCATCAAATGTAGAAACTGGTCCACGTTGGTTAGAGATTACAAAAAAAAAAAACGTTCACTTTACGTCAAATCCTCGGGAAAATTCCGTCCATAGTCTATTTGTCCGTGACTCAGTGTCTCCGTCCCGCCTGCCGTCTAACCAATATACCTGTCAGACAGGTGTTTCAGGAAGTGGGGCTTTTCGAGCACACAGAAGAATTATTCGGTCTGATGTCAAATACATTAAGAAATAAAACCATCCGTAGGTTTTTCCACATACCTAGACTGTTTCTCGTTGGACCAGGACATGTTAAAAGAACTGCCTTTATAAATGGAATAAGCTATAATGTTGTACACGTAGCCTAAAGGTCCGCTGATTAAACATGTTCATACAATCCTCCACTCAATAATTGTTTTTCTAATTTCTTGTAATTTATTGATTAATTTGAAGGAGACCTTTGCCCCTTTTAAAAAAACAGACACAGGCTGTGGAGGTAAAATAAACTCATATTTTGGCTTCATATGATCCCCTGTCTGGTGTCCCTATCTCCCATTTCAGCTCCCATATAAAACCACAGATGCTCTACTGGGACCCCTTCGGAATAAAAAAAAACAAGAATACTTTGCGTTTTTCCTGTCTTCATCTCTTGTCTTTGCTCGTGTAATTATGTCTAATGGGAGAATGTATTTGTTTTTCCAGCCTGCCTTTGTTAGTTCAGTTCCTCTGGGGATGTAATGCTTTATCTCTTGGTTCAGCATGTCTGCAGAGGTCTTTTGAAGTTTTCGTTGTGTCTTTATTTGGTCTGGGTTGTCGGTTGCACTCATCCATCAAGCTTTTTTTGGATGGTTTCCTTTTTTGACAGTAGAACTGATGCTGTGGTTGTGCTGCATGTTATCATCTCATATTCACAACAAATGGACAAAAAGGACATATGCTTTAGACTATTTATGTTTATTTTTATGTTTCATATACAGTATATAGATAGATAGATAGATAGATAGATAGATAGATAGATAGATAGATAGATAGATAGATAGATAGATAGATAGATAGATAGATAGATAGATAGATAGATAGATAGTTTTTATAAAAGTAGGTTACATGGTGGCCACAGTTACAATTACAAAAGTTTAACAAAGTAAAAACTTTTTCAAAGGTATACACAAAATAACACCATAAGAATATAACTCCAAACAAGGAGAGACAATTCTATGAACTGCAATATCTCCGGGTGAGAAGCTTGTTACTATGTTACATTATTCAAGTGAAGGGGGAAAAGTCATGTTGACATACGTTATCTATGTACGTAGAATAACATCTGATATACTGAAACTGTATTGAAGGAATTTCCACAAGAAGAAAGTACAAGAAACTAATCTACTGAAAAGATTCCTTTATTTGGATAAAGGTTGGGCAGTTCTTTTATTTTCATTTCCTGCAGATCGCAAGCTTTCTCCTCCTGCAGCCATTCATTAGTACTGTATATTTATGGTATCTATTAACGATAGCATGTGAGCTTTCCATCAATGACACCGCAATAGGGCTTCCTACAGCACTTCCCTTACCAAGGACTGATCACCACAGCTGCTTTTTTCACAGGCCTCTATTCCTTTAACCGAAAATCTCAAATCTGCTCGCGTACAGTCTTTTGCCTCTCACCTTGGTAGGTTCCCACACGTACGTCCCATCGCCCTGCACGATGTATTGTGTGTGAATACAACAGCCCCCTCTGTGTGGTTACAGTAGCATGGACTCAGTTTCATCTGAAATCCTAAAAGTCACAATGAGGTCTCTCCCGGCTCACTGGCGTTCTGGCGTCTTTGAACAAGAGACCTTTTCTTCGGTTGTCACCAATGGTGGGGGGGGGGCAAATTATGGCGATTCCAAATTGTTGGGGCCAGAGGGTGTATGTAACCATTATCCGCGGCCCAAAAACAAATGTCTCACACAGTCATGAAAACTTGTGTTTTTACTCACCAGTACACTTCCTATACAGTATGTGAACAACACATATACAATGTTATCTGTTAGCTGTTATCTGTTAACTGTTAAATAACTAACTGAGAATAGAACTGGCTCCTAACATTTCAGATTAATGCATTAGTTATTGGTGTGTTGTTGGTCTTAAATCCAGGTTGTCATAAACAAGTGATGTGGTTTTTCTATTTCAGTGTTCAACAAGTTATGCCATGCCTACATTCTTGGTGTGTTTTTGTATGTGTAATTATGTGTAAAGGAATTTAATATCTCTGCACATGTCAGTTACTGTGCCAGGTACCACCCACCCTAAGGTGGGGGAATGCAGACAGGGATGAGGATGAGAAGAAAGAAAAAAATATTAGAGGGAATCTTTCTGGCTTGAGTTTTTGTCTTTGTTTCCAGGTTGCCATTCCATCCCTCTTCGTACAAAACCCTCATTTCTGAAGTCTTTCAAATAATGTTTTATGTGTATTGCAATAACTAACAAATTGTGTTAAAGAATGGCTTTTTTAGTCTGTCACAAACATAGACTTGGTAAGAACTCCTCCCAGGAGTTGAGCTAATATATTTTAAACTAAGGATACTCACATCTATCCTCCTTTACAACAAGAAATGTTCTCTTTCATCATCAGGAGGAATTGGGAGGGTTTGGAGAACCAGGAAAAGCAATAACTGCATCTAAATTTAAAAGTTAACATATTTTTATCAAACTATGTTGTAAAGACTGTTCGTATTGGACCGCTAAACCGACTGGAGTTAATTTTGTGTTCTAGATATGTTGGGAGGTTCCGAAATCCACATTTCAAATCACATGAGATTAGTATTTAATTTTAGCCAAAAGCTAACTACACCCATGACAAAATTCTATAAATAGCCAGGGAGTCTAGCTAGACTGAAAATGAAGCAACAACTCTTATTCAAGTAGAAACATGATAATACTTCCTAAGTAAGCCCAGTCTCTTCAATATTGGCAATAAGATGGTTCATATATTTCAGAACTCAATGATGGTTCATATATTTCAGAACTCAATGTTCAACAAGTTAAAAAACAAGGCTTCACAAGTTGATAAAAACATAGTTATTTTCCCCTTTCTCAACATAACATAGCAAACCAGGAAGCCTGTTGTAACATGTTGTAAAACAGAGATATGGGAGGTCATTCCCACCAGCAGCAATAATGATGCACGATGACAGCTTAAGCTGATTGCTGGAAAAATATATCCGATTTATCGCATCAATAAATATAGCTTTTTTTAATTCATTCAATGGAATTTCACTTCATTTGACTCTCGTATTGTCGTGCTACTGTAACACACATGTTTTGATCTCTCAGAATAATTTTATCCCTTAATGGCCTCTGGTGACTTATGGCATATCACAAGTTAGCTTAGTAGTTGAATTTTGTATGTATGGGATTTTTGCCCCTTCTCTGCCTCACTGACATGGTTTGTTTCCTCCCGACCAAAGACATCCACAATTATTGTCTGATTAACTTTTTCTCACTTGGCACACTTTATTTAAAAGGGAGATCAGAATTTTCTCTTCACATTCTCTAAACACTCCTAAACACTCTAGGAACATTAAATATGTAACAGCCTTAAGACCCCTGCTTTAAACATAAAACCCACATTATCCTTTCTTTCTTTAAAGTCACCTTCATTTTGAGGAATCAGTTATTGGAAGATACAAGAGCCAGCTCAAAGATGCAATGTTCTGCATTTTTAATTGAAGAATTGTTGTGAGAGTATTGAATGTATGTTGTGTAGAATTAACACCACACCATGAAGTTTGGAGGGATAAAAGAATAAGTGGACACTCAATTGATTCTGTGAGAGCCTCATTGACAGAAATGTGAGATTAACTGCCAACACTTGCCTCGATTTTTTTTCCTCACAGAAAGGCTTAGAAGTGATTAAAATACATGTTACAGGGAAAGAGTAATAGCTTCTATTCTAAATTCATTATTGAGTGTGTTGTATAGCATCCTGGAGCATCAACAGATTTCCACGGAGGTTCATTAAACTGTCTACCACTTTAATCTATTGATTGATGTTCTGGAGCACAAATTTGCCAGACATTTTTTAGAGTTCCCACAAAAGGTATTGTGGGAACTCTAATTGGGTTCAGACATTTAACAGTTGAAGAACAAAAACAAATGAATACATATAAGGACACTACATTCGAAGGTTGTTCATGTGTTTCTGTGGAATTGCTTTTTTTCCCAACTTTTTGCTGATATAGGCCCTACTGTGTTTCATAGGATTTCTGACTTTAAGAATACCTCTTTGGGTTTATGTATTAACATATTCACACTCTAGGATGATGTATTATAAAGTAAATAGTGTAGTTTAGGCAATCAATATTTCTGACAAGATTTCAGGGTCAATTTATGCATTTAAAACTTGATTGGCTGCAGTTAGGCATTGGTATTACAAAGTAATCGGTGAAGTCAACAGCTTGAAAAGTAGTTAGTTAGGTTTAAAATATTATGAGTTTTCATGAAATTGAATGCAAACTTTTTAGTCATAACTAAATCTTTTGGCATGAGAACAAATGGAGGTATATTATATTCGATTCAATATGCTGTCAGCGAAGAACGGGGTACATTAGCTTTGTCTCCACCAAACATAGAGTACACTGTGCTAAAGGAAGCTGTTTTTAGAACACAGAAAGTCTAACTTGGGTAGAATATGGTAATCCCTGCATCCAAAAATGACGGTGTATACAATATAATCTTAAAATGGTTCTACTATTTCATAACCCCATCATTTCCTTATGGCAAAAATAATTGTTGAATTTCTGCCAGTCACCTCTTTCCCTGAGTCGTGTTCTGCCAGATTTTTCCACCATTATTTCATACACATCTGGGATGGGTGACAATTTGGTGCTGTGATTTTTTTTTTTTTGGGAGGGGGGTGTCTCAGCAACTCCATTTGAACTTAATTAATTTGCTTCATGGTATTGTTACAATAAATTAGTTTTTCATTGGCTCTAAGTGGATTTTATCTTTAAAGTGCCTTGGGGTGACTTTTCTTGGGATTTGATGACCAAAAACTGAATTAGCTCACATTGACAGTCTTTGCCTTCCTTTTTAGCATGAGTAAAAACTCCTCATGCACGCTCACAACTTCTGTCACTTAGTAACTAAGGACACATTCACAGGGGCAGACTTTGGTCAATCCACGCAAACAGGCACACACTCTCAAAGGGAAACATATGTGCGGTCATGAACAGTCAACATTCATCAAACAAGCAAACCGAGACTAAAGTGACAAATGCAGCGGTAAACACCCCCAACCAACAAATTAAACAGAAAATCACTACGACAATGTCTATAGGTAAACATTTGAAGAGCTCTGTAGAGACACATACCGTAAACACACAACTGAAGGCAGCGCATTAAAGATAATGATGCATAATAAATGCTCTACAACACCATTGCTGTCTTACATAATAGATTCTTTTTCAGATTATTTGCTCCACGTGCCAGTGTGGCTCCCCAGGAAATTTTCAGAACAGACATTTTCTTAAGACAGTGTGGTATAGACTTAAAAGTATTTTTATTAGAAAATTGTATTTATATATAAGCTCTATTACAAAAACATACATGACAGTTTTACACAATGTGATCAAATCTCTCTTGCAAATAAAAAGAACAAAAAAGAATCTGAAATCTATAAACATATTTAACACAAGTAAAATCTTTGCCATGTGAGGATGAAAGACATGCATTTACAATCATTTGTTGGTGGACGGGATGGATTCACAGGTGCACGGAGAGAAGAAACAGCTTCTCAAGGACTTTTTTGCAATCAATGGGTTTTCAGATCTGACTGCACGTTCCCACACGGCTTTCAGGGCAGATGTGTGTGTGTGGCTGCCTGCTAATCAACAATTTGGCCTTAAAGCTTAATGACAGACACATCACAGTCATTCTGTTGTTCGTTTTTTTCCTTTTTTGTTCAGTTTTTTATTCAAGCACCATGCTATGACACATTCTAAGCACCATGGCCTACGCACGCAGGAGAAAGCGTGTTTTTAAAAAGCGCCCACCTCTCATTATGGACCGCACAACTGGGAAAAAAAAAAAAGATCTAAACTATTAGTCGTGACCTTTCTCTGTAAAAGAAACTAAACAAAATGGAACACTCCAGCATAGAGGATGATCTCACAAACGATTTAAGACTTTTTCCACAAAGCTGTGGGATCTGTGAATGGCTCATCGTGACAGCAAAATCCTTTTTTAAATGTATCCGCATCTCAGTTTCTTCGCTTGGCTCTGCTGAATAAGCTATTGTTTTTCCTGCATTTAACAAGCTCCATATCTTAACCAGCAGACTGGCTATTGGTAAGTCTAATAGAATACAGCCCTTTTTACCATACCATTTATCAGATTACATTTAAGTTTCTGAGCCCTACTGTTTTATTCAAGTTTTTCCCAAGTTACACACATAATAACACTTCTTTGTCCAATTTAAAGTAAGGTAACTGTACTTCTAATCTAAAGCCCTGCTTTGAATCAGAAGATTACATTCCTGCATTTCCTTTGTTTTGCCTTTTGTTCAGAAAGCCTGCGTTTTCCCTTACGTTGTGAACAATGTGCTTGTGTTCATCACAGTGGCAGCCACTACTTTGAAGCTGAGTGGGATCCACTCTTTTCCCCCTGGCTTTTCTTCACATAAGTGCCTTTATCTCTCTGTTCTGTCACCACCTCCTCAGTCGGAATCCCCCCCGCCATCGTCGTCATCCGAGCTAGGGCCGTCTTCCTCTGAGGAGCTGGAATCTGGGGTGCTGGGGTCTGAGATCATGCCATCTGAACTGTCAATCTCTAGGGTTGTCTGTGATATGTACAGGTGGATGGCCCTCGATGGATGGCTGGGACACGCACGCACAGACAGCGGGGAGAGAACGACACAGCACACATAGACACAGGAACATGCGTTCATGTGTGACACATTTACAAGTTGATGTTGTTCAGACACGTGCAAAGTTCCACACACACAACGAGGACAGACAAGGTTGAGTGGACACAAACACAGCAGCGGGGACATAGGGTTAGCGTCAGACTGGACTTGGTCGTCCACTTGGAACAATTTTTTTTTTATTTACTCATCTGCTTCTAGGAATTTTGGACCCTCTTCACCAAGCAATTGAAAAATAGATTTAGATGAGCCAAGATGAAATGAAAAAGTTTTGGTTTAAGGTCACTGAACCTTTCACAGACAGATCTGAAAACCCAGGAAAGAGGCAAAGAAGTTTCACACGCCCACGGAAAAGATGTTTAAGACAAAAAAGCTTATTGTTTGAAACAGACAACAGGCTGGTAGAAACTGTAAATAATGTCTTTACCAACAGAAATGACAAAAACTTTTGATCGACTGGTTAAATTTGAAACTTTTTGTGCTTATGTTGGATACGGTACAAAAGTAAACATTGTCTGTTTCTAACAAGTGCTTGCCATTGAGTTTGCTTTTGTAACCTTGCTTCTATCACAACAAAACAACCACAAAATCAATCTGAAAAAAAACACAAAATCTCAGACAAATACAGTAGCATATCTTCAGTAGTGAAACAAAAAAGCAATATACCAGCATGCTCTTGTAGATTCAGAAAAGCCCCAACAAATTGGATCAGACAGCTGGCATATACAATCATCCAAATGAAGGCTGATTGGAGCTTTGAATTTTGATTCGTGGAGTTCTTGTTCATTCAAAGAAAGACTTGACAGAACTTTGGAAAGTGCTTATTCGTTGCTTCGCAGTTTTTCTATTAATTGCTTCACTGTTTCCAACATGTCATACAGCAGTGGTTCAATGGGGCTACAAATATATTAGTAGGGAAGAAAAAAACGTTTTTCTACATCTACATCATCAAAACGTTTTCTCTAACAAGGAATTATGTCTCGAAGCCCATTTGCCCAAAAGGGAAAAGATTAACTGATAAAAAAACAGAAGCTTCTCAAAAGTGAATGGCAAGTGATATAATAGAGGCTATACAGCAGTCTGGCTAAAGTTCAGTAGCTATAGATAACTCTTCAAAGGCACGTTTTCGGTTTATTTTTGCTTAATGACAGCTGCCTGTTTTTTTTTTGTTTTTTTTATCCGAATCTGGGATCCAAAGATGGAGAGGAAGGAAAAGAGTAAAGCATCCAATAGGAAAAGAGTCCCCAGGTTCCAAGAGGGAGCACCACATACCCTGATCCCAAGAGCCCCCTGCCCCACATGAACAAGAGAGATGTTTATGACTCATCTGCTCCTTTCCTGGTCCCCCCCTCCTCTCTCCTTCTGTTTTGTGCTTGGGCTTACCACACAGTGGGGTCTTTTCGCTCTTTGCGGGGAGCCTCCTCATTTTCCTCCAGATGTCTCTGACTTTTCTTGCACCTCCTGCAGGAGACGATTATGATGAGGAGGATGACTACAGCCGCGATGCCGCCTCCGATTCCCAGAGCCAGAAGGAGAAGTTCATTGAAAGAGGCTGTAAGTGGCAAGGAAATAGGTGCATTAGGAATTCTGGATATGCATTCATAAGTCTAGCATCAGGTGTAGCATTAAGTTTGTAGTCGTTTCAATTGTCTGTGGTACAAAACCTCTGATGGAAATAAACTTGAATGTGAGGTGAACCTTTAAACCGCTTTTCCCTACTGACTTCGTGACTCTTTCTGCGCTCATGTCCACATAGTTAAACAATGCTTAGGCCTTCGAGTAAAAGGGACTTCGGAAAAAGAAGCAGGCATGTACGATTCTGGAGCCAAGCAAAAGTGAAAGTACTACTTTTCATCATGTGGACCGCCATAGCTAAATATTATCCTTTGCTAAAGTCTTTTCTGCATCACATAAAGGAGATAATGGTGGGAGAGACAAAAAATTCAAGTAAAAGCAGTATAGAATGTAGTATGTCTACAGTCGTCAAACATCTCAGCATTTTTTCCCCCTTTGTGGTCATAGAAATACCCCCTGGTAACATTATGTGCTTTGTGTGTATCTAATCCTCTCAAGTGGCATTCACATATAGCACTATATGGTGAAAGGCAATGTGAAAAAAAACCCTGCTGACCTGTAGTGACAACTCGGAGGCGAATTTCTCCCACCGCACCGTGAACATCTGGTGGATTCTTCACCTGACAGACGTAGGTGCCATTGTAGGTGAACTTGACCTCTCGTATGATGATGGAAGCGTCGCGGCCTGCTATGTTGCCATCCCAGGCGATGCGCTTTCTGAAGATGCCGTCGATAGGGGGATACGGCCGCTGCTGGTAGTGGAACACCTAAAAGTGGAGTGTCATGAATAGATTTGGTTTAACTAATGATGGCCATGCTGGATTTGATTGTCATGATTTGGATATAATATCACATACTTAATGGGGCTGGTGGAAGAAGGTTTTTGATTTCTATTTCAGTTAAGAGGGGAAAAAAAGCTTACTCCTGCATACATATAGCTGCTGCATACGCCCTGTTACAGAAACACAGACACTCTCCAAGCAGCCTCGTGACTCACCAGCTGAACTCTCAGCTGGATGCTCCCCGACACAGCAAGACAGAGATGACGTTTGATCTCTTTTTCTTTTTTTTTCCTGAACACATCTACAGAAACGGACTCACCGACTCCTCTCGGCCCGGTCGCAGGGGTCTAAAAGTCCAGGAAATGACGACGGCATTGGGATTGATGGGAGCGGAGCTCTGAAAGGTGCACTTCAGACGGATGTCCGTCCCGTTGACCGCCTCGACATTTCCGGACGTGTATATACGCATCCCGCTGACCTGCAGCACACCTACAGCAAGAAAAACAGAAAGCGGGAGCCAGAGCTTACATATTGGGTACAATGCACGACATGAGCACATAACACAGTTAAAGAGAGTATGAAGAGCGATGCAATATAAAAGATGCACTCTCAAACACCCTCGCCTATAAATAAGCCTTGTGAACCTGCAGTGTTTGCACCTGAAACAATATTTCTGTGTGCTGCTATAATAGAATTATGCACATAACACACATTTGAGACTTCATAAAAAATCTGAAAATCTGCCTTCCTACATGCGGAAATTTTTTACGGTTTATGGAGGAGCGTTTGCTGCATATTGCATGGATATAGACTGCATCCATCAGCACAAGAGACCTATTAGATGTAAAGTGAATAAACTGGAAGAGCGAAGTTAAATATAGTAGGACATATTAAATGCTGATTTCCTGCCTGGCAGGTTGACAGCGATGCGAGGCACACTATATAATCGCACTTCTCCCTCCCAAAGATCACAGTCTTCTTCATGAAGGAAGATCCAACTGTTCTCCAAAGCACCGCAGTGTGCATGCGTGTGAGCCTAATTCCCTTAGGACGTTTATGAGAGGGCTGTCTAGTCAAAATCACCTACAGTGGGGGAAATAAGTATTTGAGCCCTTGCTGATTTTGCAGGTTTGCCCACTTACAAAGAATGCAACGATCTATAACTTTAATCATATGTACATTCTAACAGTGAAAGACAGAATCCCAAAGAAAATTCCAGAAATTCACATCATATGAATTTATAAAAATTGATAACCATCTGATGAGGAAAAATAAGTATTTGACCCCCTGGACAAACAGCATTTTAATATTCTATAGAAAAGCCATTATTGGCCAGCACAGATGTCAAACGGTTTTTATAGTTGGTGACAAGGTTTGTGCACATTTCGGAAGGGATGTTGGCCCACTCCTCCCTGCAGACAGCCTCCAAATCATTCAGGGTCCGAGGTTGTCGCCTGGCAACTCAAATTTTAAGCTCCCTCCAAAGATTTTCAATTGGATTCAGGTCTGGAGACTGGCTAGGCCACTCCAAAACCTTGATGTGCTTCTTCTCCAGCCACCCTTTTGTTGCTTTGGCGATGTGCTTAGTTTCGTTGTCGTGCTGAAACACCCATCCTCGACCCATCTTCAGCTCTCTCACTGAGGGAAGGAGATGTTGGTCCAGAATTCCACGATACATAGCCCCGTCCATCCTCCCCTCAATATGATTGAGTTGTCCCGTCCCCTTGGCTGAAAAGTACCCCCAAAGCATGATGTTGCCACCACCATGCTTGACGGTGGGGATGGTGTTCTTTGGGTTGTACTCGGTGTTCTTTGCCTTCCAAACACAACGAGTTGAGTTGGGGCCAAAAAGTTCTATTTTGGTCTCATCTGACCACATCACCTTCTTCCAGGCCTCTTCTGAGTCGTCCAGGTGGTGAATGGCGAACTTCATGCGGGCCTGTACATGTTTCTTCTTGAGCAGGGGGACCTTGCGTGCGCTGCAGGATTTCAATCCATGACGGCGTAGTGTGTTACCAACCGTTTCTTTTGTAACTGTGGTCCCAGGTGCCTTCAGTTGATTCATCAGTTCCCCCCTTGTGGTTTTGGGAGGATTCTTTACCGTTCGCATGGTCAGGGACACCCCACGAGGCGAGATCTTGTGTGGAGGCCCAGACTGAGGGAGGTTGGCGGTGGTGTGGTGCTTCTTCCATTTCCTGATAACTGCACCGACAGTTGATCTTTTCTCTCCAAGTTGTTTTCCGAATGTCTTGTAACCTATCCCAGCCTTGTGCAGATCAACAATCTTGTCCCTGATGTCCGTAGAAAGCTCTTTGGCCTTGCCCATGGTGGTGATGTTGGATGCTGGTTGTTTGGGTGTTAACAGGTGTCTTTTATACAGGTAACAAGGTGAGGCGGTTATATTTGATGTAGATAATTGGTTGGGATTGGGGCTGTGTCTTAAAGAAAGACTAACTGGCTTGTAGGAGCCAGAATACTTGCTGTTTGGTAGGGGGTCAAATACTTATTTTTTCTCATCAGATGGTTATCAATTTTTATAAATTCATATGATGTGAATTTCTGGAATTTTCTTTGGGATTCTGTCTTTCACTGTTAGAATGTACATATGATTAAAGTTATAGATCGTTGCATTCTTTGTAAGTGGGCAAACCTGCAAAATCAGCAAGGGGTCAAATACTTATTTCCCCCACTGTAGGCTATTAATAGAGGGAGCTGTATATCTTCTAATAATAGACAGACATGTCTAGCCTTATTAAAGTCGATAACTGGGAGCACAGCGGGCCAAACGTCTGCACAGCTACGCTGCAGCGAGCTCTGCATAGGCGAGGCCAGCTTTGTCATCAGAAGCATGCTCTGTAAGAGGTCTGTGCAGAAGAAAAAGAAAATTGTGATGAGAGTTCTGACTATTGAAGTCTAAAAGAAGAGCTCGGAAACAGCATCCTCATAAATGCACTTTCATAACTTGTGGCTCCACGTTAGTAAGACGGCCACAGTCAGAGCAACATGTACACCCCTCTTAATTTACCCTCTAAACACATTTGGAAAGAAAACACCCGTTCTCTTAACACTTGTAACAGGATAACATGCCTAGGATGTGCTTACCACACTACTCTGTGTCTGTTCTACTTGCGTCCTAAGTCCTTTAAAGAGATGTATAACTCATGCTTAGGGTGGGATTTCTTGTTGTGTTGAGGCTTGAATGTTGTTCCCCGCTTTGAAAAAAAAAAGCTATCTGATTAACAGAAATTAAATTTTGTAAAAAGCCTACCATGGCAGTTTAACGTTACAGATGTAAATCAAATATTACTAACAATCATAAATAAGTGGTTTAAGCCTCATTATGTCATTAAATAAAACAGCTGCAGTTTCCCAGCTCTACATGGTGACTCAGAGTTCTGAGCATTAAAACGACAAAAGTCGAGGAAGAAAACACATTGAGCCACACCATTACCACGGCATTTGTCGGGAAAATGCTGAGGCGGGGCTTGCTTTCCTCCTTGAGTGGTGTTTTCTGCTCCTTATCAGGCTGGAAAGAGTTTCCTGTGGGCTGGGAGGACAGAGTCGGGGCTCCCTCACATCAATAGATAGAGGCCGGCTTCTCTCTCATCGCAAAACCCTGACAGCACTCTGACAGCCTAATGTGTTTTAAATTAGCCAGATGAAATCTGGGCGTAGTGTGTACAAGTGAGCAATGAGGGCAAAAGACACACTGCAAAAAACAAGCCAACTCTCTAAACTGTGCTCTGATTTATTGGAAGGGGAGAACTCTACTCTGCCTTTCGTGGGGGGTTTTTTCTACCTGAGAGTATGGATACACAGAAGTCAGCTGATTGCTCCAAGTCTGTGTCTAGGATAATCATTAGAGAGATAGCATCAGGCCTGGCTGTATCAGTATAGCCAATAAAGCCTCCCCCCCAGACTTGGCTGCAGGTGTGTATGTGTGTGTTCATCTGTCTTAAAATCTAGAAGATAAGCATTAGACACTAAAGGTCTCATGAATCATTTTCATTTTCACAGAAAAAGAAAGAGCACAGACCTCATTCTCTTCCCTTTTCGACTGATCTTGTTCAAGAACATTAGGATCCGAACAGCACGGGGCATTTCAGCCGAGATGTTTATTTGTATAACCTTCAAGTTTAAATTGTTCCATTACGATTAATTAATACATTTTGAAGGTTACCTAGCAGATAGTGGGAATTGTTAGGTTTCTGTAATTAACTTCAGAGTAGGGTCTGACCTGCTCTGTTTGGAAAGCGCTGTGAGACAACTGTTGTTGTGATGTGGCGCTATATAAATAAAATTGAATTGAATTGAATTGAATAGTCGGTTACCCTCTACCCTCAACTGAAGAACTGTACAGCTCCAGTCGCCTCAGGAACATTAACAGATTGCACATACATTCCATCTCATCTTTGACATTCACTGCTTGAGCATCTGCCCACCAGGCAGCTGCTTTGGATCCATGATAACAGAAACAAACAGACTAAAAAATAACTAAATAACTAAAAAATAACTTCTATCCATCATCAGCCCTGTATAAATTCTTCTAGACCACTTTTTATTATCTCGCAAATATGCATTTACTTATGCACCGGCACCGTACCTATGCATTAACTGCATTTACTATATTTTTTACATCTCTTGACTTGAATCATTCTTTTATTCAACTATCCAGCACATTCAGTTTTTTTGTTTACAAAATTTGCAACATGTGTCTACGTGTCAGTGTTTGTCAATTTATTTTAGGTTTTCCTTATATTTCTTTTAACATTAAAATGCATATGTATCTTTTACTGTATTTTTTACATTTTTCCCAATTTCGTGGCAGCATAGGTCCGAAAACACTGTAGCCACATAAAAAAAAAGCCATTATCCCTAACCCCTTCCTAAAAAACCTCATCAAGACCTTACCTCATTACCTTACTGCTGCTCTTTGGAGATATACACAGACTAAAGAGAATGGATCAGCGCCCCCTCAGTATGTGCTTGTACCGAGAAGCTAGTGTTGGAGAATTAGCTGAGTGAAAAAAGCTCAATTGTGTGAAAGGACATATAACTGAAATCCTACTCTTGCCAGATGACATAAGTTGTAGCTTAAAATTTGCTCTTTATTATAAGCCGTCCACTTATACGGCAAAAATTTCATCATAATTGAATGGTGTGTTTCCTGGATGCCGGTCCCTCTTCTTTTTTTGTTTGTCTCTATCTTTTCCACCGCCCAGGAGTGTATGAATGAGACATCAACTTTAACACCCAAATTCCAGTCTGTACAACGACAGAGTACTCTTTGTAGTACACAGTCCACTGTGCAACAAAGGCATCAGCCTCGCCTTCAACAGACGGTTTGGAGGGCCTGTCAAGGGAAATTGGCTCGTAGCTGTAATTTATAGATTTGTACTTAATGTCTTCCTTTGACAATCTTGAGAATGAAGTGGTATTCCACCAACTCATCCAAATTTAGCCTGCAATAACCTTACAAATGCAGGAAAGCAATTTCCAAGACACGACTGCCTCTGACTATTCATTAACAGAGGACAGTTA